TTCAAATTAACCCTATTTTCGAAAACCCAATTACCAAGAACCCTAGTTTCGAAATCCCCAATTTCTAAACCCTAATTTCCCTACTTAAACTCTGCTTTGGCACTCAGAAAGTAAGAACAACTCTTTCCATACAAAAGTTAAGTGCTGTGAGTGCCAGAGAACTGTTTGTTGCAAGGAAAGGGGGCTTTTGGAACCTGGTGTGGGCTAGAAGCGATAAGAATCACTAAGTGGAGTTCTTAGTGGATTGTGTGTTGTGCCGTCTCTGGGGAAAGCTGTTCTTCATCTCTTGTGGATTTCAAGAGAGGTGTTGTCTTTACTTTATCTCTTTCATTTGTAATTTGTTTTGTAACAATTTGTTCTTAGTGACAGCGTTAATCCTCTTTTGAGTGATTAGCAACTGGACGTAGGGTCTTTTGATCCGAACCAGTATAAACCTACTGTGTAATCTTCTCTACTCTTCTCTATTTACATTTACACAGTTTTTAATCGGTAAAATTTGGGGAAAATTTTGAAAACCTAATTTTTATTAAGAAACCAATTCACCCCCCCTCTTGGTTTTTGTCCGACCACGCGAACATTCCGCTGCGCGATTCTAACAGAGTAATCATCAATAATTACAAGTCCATAATAATTTCCACCAAAGCTTTTTATCCTAGAAGGTCCAAATAAGTCTAAATGTAATAATTCTAGGGGTTTTGAAGTGGAAATAACATTCTTTGATTTAAATGATGATTTTACTTGTTTACCCTTTTGGCATGCATCACATAATCTATCTTTTTCAAATTTTAACTTAGGCAATCCAATAACTAAGTCTTTTGAGATTAATTTATTCAAATGATGCATATTTATATGAGCCGCTCTCTTATGCCACAACCAAGGGTTCTCTTCCTTAGCAACTAAACATGTTATACTTGACTCATGCAAACAATCCAAATCAATCAAATATATGTTGTTATGCCTAATGCCTTTCAATGCTACATTTTCGGAATCTATCAAGTGAATGGTGCAAAATTTACTTTCAAAAATTACCTTGAAGCCTTTGTCACATAATTGACTTATACTAAGGAGATTATGCTTAAGTCCATCAACAAGTAGCACATCCTTGATCTCCAAAGTGTTTGCACCACCAATGTTTCCAATTCCGAGAATCTTCCCTTTGTTGTTATCCCCATAAGTCACATATCCTTGTTCTTTGGCTTTGAAACTCACAAATTTCGATTTATCTCCAGTCATATGTTTTGAGCATCCACTATCAAGATACCACATAGACTTCTTTGATTTGGAAGTTTCCTACAAAACAAGAACATAGTAAACTTAGGTCCCCACAACTTTTGGGTCCTTGGGGTTAGAGACATAACAATCTATGTAAATACTGCAAAACTTTCTCATAAAACTTTTCAAGTTATTTTAACTGATAAGAAATAAGTTTTAATCGATTAAAACGCTGTGTAGAAAATTTCTAAGTTGTTTTAATCGATTGAAATGAGATTTAATCGATTAAAAGAGTTCTGATCGGTCATAACTAAATTCTGATCGATCATAACTGATTCTGATCGGTCATAATTGGATTCTGATTGATCATCCTGACCCTTTAAGTGATTTTAATCGATTGAAACGTGTTTTAATCGATTGAAAAAATTCTGATCGCTTATAATTAAAATCTGATCGATCACATTTGATTCTGATCGGTCATAATTGGATTCTGATCGATCATCCTGACCCTTTAAGTGATTTTAATCGATTGAAACATGTTTTAATCGATTGAAAAATTCTGACCAGCTCATAATTAAAATCTGATCGATCACATTTGATTCTGATCGGTCATATTTGTATTTTGATCGATCATAATGAGTTCTAAATGGTTTTAATCGATTAAAAACAAGTTGTATCGATTAAATACTGTAAAAACACTTCTTTGAACATTCTAAGTGATTTTAATCGGTTCTTTCACAACTATATCAGTTAAAAACATGTTTTAAGAAAGCTTTTGTAAAAATACTTTGTTTTTAGTTGTTTAAAATGATTTTAGAGGCATTTCGCAAAATCTTTAAGTGAAGAACCTTCATGCAGTAGAAAAGATAAAATGATTTTACCTAAGCATTCTGTTTAAAACATACTAAATGATCCATTTTCTTTGAATAAATAAAAGAGACAAACAATTCATTTAACTATAGGAACCCAAATATATTTTCCTTTAGGAACACCAAAATGTTTAATTTTACATCTATTTGACGTGTGACCTTGTTTCATGCAGTAAAAACATGCTTTAGATGTAGTATTTGAAAATGATGCATTTCTAATCATAGATGCTCTAGTTCCTTTTTCTACCCATACTCTTTTCTTTTTAGTTTTAGGCTTTTTCAAAGGAACTTGATGATTTACACTATTTTGAGTAAATACTGTTTCATGCTTCTTAAGATCATCTATTTCCTTTTCGGCTTTGTCTAGCAAATGATTAAGAATATCTATGTCATATTCATGCTCTTTACAAGTTTCACAAGCTAAATTCTTATCCTCATCTAAACATACAATTTTCGTATTAGCTACCTCCTTTTCTTCTAAACATGCAATTTTCAATTTTAAGGACTCATTTTCCTTTTCTGATCTTCTTAGATTCTTCTTTACAACTTTATATTTATCTTTCAAATTCTTAAAGGCAATAAATAATTCATTGTAAGCATTTTGCAATTCATCATGGTCATTTTCATCACTAGAAGATGAATCGGAATCACTAACCTCAAAATCCGAAGATATGTTGTCATTTGCCATTAAGCAAATGTTTGCTTCTATTTCCGAGTCGCTTGATTCCGAACTTGAATCACTGTCATCCCAAGCAATATAGGCTTTCTTCTTGAATTGCTTCTTGCCCTTGTTTTCATCGTTTTTCTTATTTGGGCATTCGGTCTTTACATGCCCTGCTTCACCACAACCATAACATTTTATATTTACGGAAGTATTTTCTTTTACCTTTCCCTTACCTTTGAAAGGATGTCTTCCTTTTGCTTTCATGAACTTGGTGAACTTTCTTATAAAAAGACTCAACTCTTCTTCATCATTTTCCGAGTCTTCTTCTTCTTCCTTTTTATGTTTACCTTTAGAAATCTCAATTTTGAAGGCTAGGTTCTTCTTTTGGTATTGACCTTCTTCCTCATTTAGCCTTCCAAGATCAAGCTCATGTTCTCTAAGCTTTCCAAATAACGCCGCCATGGACATTGTGGCAAGATTTTGTGACTCCGAGATGGCCGTCACCTTAGGTTGCCATTTCCTATCCAGAGATTTCAAAATTTTAACATTTAATTCATCAATGTCAAAAATTTTACCTAGTCCGGTGAGATGGTTCACGATATGAGTGAAACGTTTTTGTACGTCAAATATCGTTTCGCTTTGTTGCATCTGGAACATCTCGTATTCTTGGATTAAAGAATTTTTACGTGCTCTTTTGACGTCGTCAGTTCCTTCGTGGGTCACCCATAGCATTTCCCACATTTCCTGTGCACTTTTACAAACTGAAATTCTATAAAACTCGTCAAGGGTTAGAGCAGATGAAATTATATTTCTAGCCCTAACATCAAATTGTGCTTTTCTACTTTCTTCGGCAGTCCATCTAGAAAAAGATTTGGGAACGTCAACACCGTTCTCAGTTACTTTAGGAATATATGGACCGTTTAAAATAGCGTCCCAAACGCCTCTATCAACAGACTCTAAAAATATTTGCATACGTACCTTCCAAAAAGGATAATTTTGACCCGCAAAAAGTGGGGGTCTGTTGATAGACGCACCTTCGGCAAAAGTTTGATTTTGTCCGGCCATTTTCGAAAATTTGAATGACTATCAAAGCAAGCTCTGATACCACTTGTTAGAATCGCGCAGCGGAATGATCGCGTGGTCAGACAAAAACCAAGATGGGGGTTGAATTGGTTTCTTAATAAAAATTAGGTTTTCAAAATTTTCCCAAAATTTTACCGATTAAAATCTGTTTAAATGTAAATAGAGAAAGGGATAGAGAATCTTACACAGGAGATTTATACTGGTTCGGATCAAAAGACCCTACGTCCAGTTGCTAATCACTCAAACAGAGGATTAACGCTGTCACTATAAACAAGTTGTTACAACAGATTACAATTGACAAGATAAAGATAAATATAACACCTCTCTTGAAACCCACAAGAGATGAAGAATAGCTTTCCCCAGAGACGGCACAACACACAATCCACTAAGAACTCCACTTAGTGATTCTTATCGCTTCTAGCCCACACCAGGTTCCAAAAGCCCCCTTTCCTTGCAACAAATAGTTCTCTGGCACTCACAACACTTAACTTTTTTATGGAAAAGGTTGTTCACTTTTCTGAGTGCCAAAGAAGAGTTTAAGTAGGGAAATTAGGGTTTAGAAAAAAGGGGATTTTGAAACTAGGGTTCTTGGTAATTGGGTTTTCGAAAATAGGGTTAATTTGAAATTTAAAATGAAAAACAGACTGAAATAATCGATTAAATGGAGTTATAATCGATTAAAACAGAGCCAAAAAAACAGAACCCAAAACCTCTCTGTTTTAATCGATTATTTGACCTAATAATCGATTATTTTGATGTTTTAATCGATTAAAACAGTGAGTATATACTGAAAATGGTTTTCTCACTGTTTTAATTGATTATTTCCCTATATAATCGATTAAAGCCGAGCCTGGATGATATATTTGGGCTTTTTGAAGCTTCTAAGTTGCAGACTATGTACCGGCTATCTCAAACTCTATAATTACAGACTCAATCTAATTAAAACAGAGTTATTACACTACAAAAATAAGTCTTCAACACTCTAAGTCTTTGAGTTCTTGAAACATCATCAAAATCATCAATCTTCATGTTCATCAAGTGCAACATCAAGTCCTTGAATGTTCAACAAATTCTTCCTCTGTCTAGCTTCCTTCCCCTCTCGTCTTCCTCCTAGCTACAAGGGTCCACCCCCTTTATCCGCCATTTTCTCTACATCTCACTCTCCTCCGTGGTCACCACCGCACCACCCTCGGGAGCAAAAACTGCGAACCCCTTGCCTCCACACTGGCCAGCCTATGTCGCCTCCCACTCAGGTACACGACAACCTCGACCTCCACCGCATCAGCCATAGCCCTCACTGCGACCCACTGCTCCTTCACCCTAGTCTCACCTTCACCAGAACCACCGTGCACACCACCATCTTCACACCTCAACCTTAATTATGGCGAAATCACCAATTCCCTCTCCCCCTCTCATTCCCAGCATCCTAATTTGTTGCCCCCCCATTAGTGTGGGTCGCATCTTCCTAATCTCCGTCGTGCTTCCTCCCTGTAGTGCCGACCGCGTGGCCAGCAACCACTGGCCTGTGCCGCGCCCCACCAATCGATCGCCACTATCCCCACCTAAGAACCCCATCTCGCCGTTATCGACCTTCATCGTGGACAAGATCCCCTCATCGCGGGTAACCATGACCACTAAGTGTGAGCCATCATGATTCGTGTCTTCATCCCACTACAGCTAGCCACAACGCCAACCACAAGCGCCTCTGAACCACCATCTGCGAGTCACCTAGGTGATGTTTTCTCCATTTTATTCTGGCCCGACCCTGTTTGTATTAATTTGGAAGATATGTTCCTTTGTCTGGTTTGAATAGTTGGTTTTCAAGTGTGGGTTTTGGTTGGTTCCAGTTTGGTTTTGTTTGCTTAATCTGTATTTTTGGATTACTTTGCCTTTTGATCGATTCCGATCGTTTGGTTTGGTTCAGGTGTGACTATTTGGTTCTAATCAGGGGCTATTGAAGCCCTTTCATGGTTCTGTATTGGCTATCTAAATTGATATGGATTGAATATAATCATCAGTTGTATGTGAGTTTATTGGTCAGGTATTGTCCTAGCTTGGATCGTGGTTTTACTGGATGGTTAGGTCTTGTTGTTAGGGATGGCTCGGTCTTGTTGTCACTTATATGAGTGTTCCGGTTTTAGACTGCCCCTTTTTGTTTTGTGTGGACTATAAACCAATTGTTTTGTTAATATTTCAAACAAGGTTGTGGGTTATAGTGCATTTGATGGAACATATTTTTATTGTATAATTACATATCATTATGGTCCTAATTACTCTCACATTTAGGCTTAATTTTGTGGTAGTTTAATGTTTGTTAACTATCATTTGAATTGTGGACTTAATTGCAAAACTAATTAAATTTCATGTTTATTAGCAATTTGACCTTTGCTCAGTGATAAGGAAATATATGGAGCTACAACACTCCAAATTGAGTGATTCTAAGTGCATTGTAAAGGTAAGAGGCAAAGTTATAAATGTCTCTTTCATGAGCATTGTCCAAATCCAACCGGAAGATGGCCAACTTTGAGGTCAAAAAATCACCATGGAATCTACCCTACACATGTCAAAATTAGGATTGTGCTGGCTATTGTTTGTTGAGTTTGGTTTAAATGGGGTTTGTTGAGTTTCTTGGTTGTGTTGGCTACTGTTTGTACTGAGATGGTGTTTTGCCTTGTACCTGGTTGTTAGGACCATGGGTCTTGTGGTAATGTACGCATTATGTTGTTATGCTGCCAAATTTTCGTTCAAAGCCTAATGTTGATGTGCAGACACTCTAGTCTCTTAATATGTTGTGATTTGTCTCAAGTTTTCATTATGTTACATCCCAACTTTGATGATTATACTAGATAATGGTGTTAGTTGTGTTGTCTAAACTGGATTGTGCTATTTCTAAACTAGGTTGTATTATTTGTAATCTTTGAGTGGATTGGGTTATGTTATTATTGGGTTGTTTGGATTGTGTGGCTGATTACTGTGAGACTATTAGTATGATGCACGTTTGAACGTGTCGTGTAATTTCAAATGGGGATATTGAGTTTCATCCAAAGTTTAGTCTGTAGTATATCCTAGTTGTGATGTTCGTTGTTCCTGCCAATTCTTACAACTGTGCTGTGAAAATCTAACTTGTACTTGACTATCAAGACCATGGGTCTTAAAGTTATGTCGTTATGCTGTTGAATTTTCATTCAAAGCCTGGTTTTGATGAACAAATGATTTTTCATGGTCTCATAGTACTTATTCTAAGGCTTTCATTAGTGTGCATGGCTTTCGTTTTAGTACATTATTTGGATTATGTTTTAAGGTATATTAGATCCTATAGAGGAGGAGAGAATAAGGACTGAAAGTTGGGTTCTTGCTACAGGTGGCAACTAAAAAGGTCGGATCTACGGTGTTGGAGAACTTGCCCATAATTTTAGGCTTGTAGATACCCTTTCCTATTCAGGATCTACTTCTTCTCATGAGAATACGCAATTAAAGGAACAAGTGCTTAGTTATAGGGAGGATAATGAAAGATTGAGCCACTAATTACAAACACTTGTCAGTATTGTCCTTCCTTTTCTTCCACTTGATGCCCGACAAGCATTTCAACAACAATAACCTTCCCAACAAGGATCATAACAACAACAAGAGCAACAACAATAACAAGAGCAGTAAAAGCAACAACAACAACAATCATAACATCAACAATAATCAGCTTCCGCAAAGCAGCCTCAAAATGAACAAGGACATTACTCAAATTATTAAGACACTCAAACAATATTTTCATAATATTTATTACAGTACTTCTTTAGATTTATATGTTCTTAGATATTTGAATGACTATTTGATGCATGCTAAGGATCGATTTGTGTTTGATATCTGAATATGCACTTGGTGCATATCAATATTATGGAATATTCTTGTTAAATTTGATATCTAAATACTTTGTATATAATATGCATGTAACATGTAAAATTTAGTTAAATCAGTGGGTGGTGAGGTGAAATTTTTAAAATTTACCTACGGATTCTAGTTTGTAGGTAAATTTGAACGTGTGCATTACCTACGGACACAATATGTGGGTAATTACCCATGGAAGACATTACCTACGGACACAATCTGTAGGTAATTACCCACGAAAGACATTACCTACAGATAGTAATTCAGTAGGTAAATTACCTACGACCATATTACCTACGAATTTTTTCCCGTGTGAAATTTGTAGGTAAAATGACATTACCTACGGATTTTTACCATTACCTATAGATTTTTTCCGTAGATAATACAGTTTTTTTTGTAATGAGGAAGTTTGTGAGACTTTAATTGAACTAAGTTTTTTTTTTAGAGTTATGCTCCAAGACATTGAGTTTAGAGAGCCTAAGATTTCTAGAAAAAACTATAGTTTTGACTTTGTGTAAGTTGGAAAAAATATTTCCTCCTTCTTTTTTGACATAATGATTCATCTACCCATTCACTTAGTAGATGAGGCATAGATTGTTGGGCCAGTACAATATCATTGGATGTATCCTATTGAAAGATACCTTCGTAGGCTTAAATCATATGTGAGGAATAAGGCTCGTCCAGAAGGATGTATTGTTGAAGCTTATATTGCACAAGAGTGTGTTCACTTTTGTTCAAGGTATTTGTATGATGTTGAAACAAGATTGAATAGATACGGCAGAAATTATGAAGGTGTTCTAGATTAGTCAAATAAATCAAAGTTGAAAATTTTTTATAAGTTGAAAAACCATTACATGGAAAAAAATATGTTGAGCTAAATATAGTAGAATAAGAGCAAACAATAATTTATATTATCCAAAATTGTGATGAAGTCTGACCTTTTATTCAAGTAAGTGATTTTCTTAAATTACATATTTATATTATTATTGTAAAACTATAATTTATCTGTATTCTTGCATTTTATAATCAGGTTACTAAAAAAGGAATTGGAAAAAGCAAATTCACAAAATGTGGAACAAAGACATCAAAAACAATTCTTTCAATGGTTCAAAAAATATGTACCTATGTTTCTTCTTTTTTTTTGTTCTGCCATTATATAAATTGCAAAATATGAAAATTACGTTTTATATTGAACAGGTTACAACTTTAAAGAAAGAAGAGGATAAAAGTATAAATGAATCATTATTTTGCTTGACTTATGGACCTAATACACGTGTTTTTCGATACACGAGTTATTTGATAAATGGCTAGAGGTTTAATATAAAGAATCGTGATATGCACTTGAAATCACAAAATAGTGGAGTTTTACTTACAGATGAAGAGAATGCAGGTAAGCTTAATTACTTTGGTGTCTTGACAGATATTATTGAATTAAGTTACTCAGGTTGAAACAATGTTGTTTTATTTAGATGTGATTGGTGGGATGTATGTTCAAAAGGGAGAGGATACAAGGAAGATAAGTATGGATTTATTCTCATTAATAGTAATCATAAATTGAGGACTAATGAATCATATGTCCTAGCTAGTCAAGCTCAACAAGTGTACTATGTAAAAGACACCCATGATCCTAATTGGCTTGTTGTAGTAAAAACAAAGCCTCGAGACTTATACGATATGCCTGAGGAAGTTATACATGAGGTATGTCAGAAAAATGATGATATTGGTAGCATCTCTTTTACATCTAATGATGTATCAGACAATAAACATGTGTTATCTTTAGATAGAAATGACTTATCTCAATCAACGGCTAACAGAAATCCATTGATTTATATGGAAGTTATAGATGAAGAAGAAGAAACAGATATTGAAAGTATTGATTTAATATACAATTAAGTAAGCGATGATGTTGTTGAAGATGACAACGATGATAGTTGATTATGATTTGACATTATTTGGAAAACATATATTTTTTTAGTTGAAAAATAAAAAGATATTAGATAAAAAAATTAATGATTTTGAGTTATATTTTTTTCATTATTATTATATATTAATGCAATATTTTTATAGTTGAAGATGACAGTGATGATATTTAATTATGATTTGATATTATTTTGAAAATATATTTTTTTAGTTGAAATATAAGAAGATATTAATAAAAAAAATTTAATTATTTGAGTTATATTTTTTTCATTATTATTATATATTAATGCAATATTTTTATTGAATTATATATATATATATGAATTTATGATAAATTATTATTGATATAAATAAATTAAAATTCTAATATATTATTATTAATGAATATTTTATAATATTATTAACAAAATATTTTCTTAATATAAAATTAAATAATTCTTTTATAATTCCTTTTGATACAATAAAATTAAATAATAATAGTAATATTAAATAAAACTTTATTTTTATAATATCAAACATGGGGTATATAAATTAGTATTAAAATATTTTTTTAGTAATAAAGTAATAGAAAATAAGTGAATGTTTTTTTATAATTACAATAAAACCAAACAAATAATAAATGATTGATAAATTTAAATATAAAGTATATTATAATTTTATACCATTTTTATTATTTCGTTATATTTTATTATATATATATATCACTACTACAACCGACGTTGTATCAGGCGACGTTGAAAGTTAGAACTTTCAACGTCGGTTCTAATAAACCGACGTTGAAAGTATGATTTTTTAAA